TCCTGAGAAAGACAGATGCAGGGGAGACCTTGGCCACATGACTGTGTGTGATGGCAGAGCTGTGGAGGTCCCCATGGGGAGCCTGGAAAAGGTATCTAATGTCCCTTTAGAGGTGAAGGCCGACTGTGTCTGAGAGGCTGGTGAAATAGACACTGAACAGAATGTATTAACCAAGTCTATAGCAGCAAAGTACCAGTTGATTTGGATGGAGTCAGTGATTTCTATAATATTCGGTGTTGGATGTGGGGTCTGAATGGACAGGGTCACGGCATTAAGGTGGTGGTAATCCACCAGGAGGCACCCTTTCGTTCTCTCCAGATTTAGGAATGAGCCAAATTGCCCTGTGTAAAGGAGAAGCAGGGGGATTGACATACCCTGTTTAAGTCTTGCATAGTAAGTTTCCCTCCTTGAAGGTCCTGTTGTAATTTGCATTGGGTGGTATTAACTGTTTTAATGGGGAGCAGGGGAGGGTCTGTGGGGTCTCATCTTGTCAAGCCAATTTGTAAGTCAGACCAGGTGGCAGGAGTGCCAGGGAGCACCCACCAGACTCACACCAGCCTGTAGTCTCGTCATGGGGGCAAAAACAGCCCTTTAGGGTGGGAGGAGATGACAGAGCCCAAGAGAGATAGCAACTGGCAATTGCATCCCAGCTGACTGTTAGGGCTTGTTAGCAAGCAAAGAGCAGGCAGGGAGAGCTGGCCAGGTGTCCTCAGTCATGGTGGGCCCATCTGTTCGTGAGCCAATTATGGTCACCTCCTCTTCACCTCGTTGGTGAGGGAGGGGGGTCTCACCCTTGGGTTAAGGGTATGGTGGACCCTTGACACCCAGCCCTGGGCAAGTGAGGGCCACAGCAGTTCATTCATTCATTCATTCATTCATTCACTCATTCAGGCAGCATATACTGTGTCCCTGTGCCAGGCAGACAGCCCTGCCCTCATGCCGCTCACACAGCAGGTGCTGGGGTCAACGTTGATAGCAGTGAGGGCTGTGTGCTCCAGCAAATGGTGGGAGCGGCCCTGTGGAGGGAGACCAAGAAGATCCCCTTTCCCCAGGAGGAGGTGTTGCAGGGGAGGCAAGAGAGGCTGCTTGGAGACAGTGCGTGAGCAGGCCAGCCTGGCAGGGGGTGGACAAGTCTTTCATCTTCACCCGTGGGTGGTTTCTGCCAGTCGAGATCAGAAGCAGAAAATAAAGAAGAACCTTAAGAGTTATTTAAAATTTAATTGACCTGATCTGTGAGATCTGAACAAGATGGGGGAAGAATTCATGCCTGTAAGAATGATCATCTGGCTGAGAACCTGCCGAGGGTCAGGGTGACCCTGAGAAATGAATTGGATGCTGTGTTGGAAACTGCTCCTGGTAAACAAGCAGTTCTTGCTGCAGTGTCAGAAATGTACTCCAGAGCCCCTGCCCACGCTGTGTGGACCCTCCCCTAAAAATACACCCCAGTAAGAACGAGGCGGTGGGCAGAGATCAGTGGTCCTCGGTGTTCTGATCCTGTGGTCTTTGCGGGGTCTGGGCGGCCTGTTGCAGAAGCCCCTCAGGTGCCCCTGATGGGTGAGCACCACTGATCTTGTGCCACTTGTTCATGCTGTGGGCTGTGGGGTGGACCGGAGGCCCAGAGGTCACACAGAAACCGCCGGACCCAGCTTCCACCTGGTGCTCCATGTAGCTGGAATCTAGTTCAAGCTCTCAGATTTTTCTGCTGTGCTACTGAGCTATTTTTAAAACCACACTCTTGATTTTCTGGATTATAACTCAGTGAGCTGTGTTGACATGTTTTGTTCTCAGGTTTTCACAGGAAAGTCATTTTTCTTATATAATTACATTATTTGCTTTTGATGACAGTTTTTCTTGATTTATAAAAGGAAATAATCACAATTGTCAGAATAGACAGAAAATTATAAAATAAAGATTACTTATGAACCCACCACCCAAAGGCAACTACTGTTAGCATTTTGGTATATATCCTTCTGAATGTTTCACAGTGCATGCACGTGTGTGTGTGTGTGTGTGTGTGTGTTTCTCTCTCAATTTTTTTTTTTTTTTTTTTTTTTTCGAGACAGAGTTTCGCTCTTGTTTTCCAGGCTGGAGTGCAATGGCATGATCTCAGCTCACTGCAACCTCCGCCTCCTGGGTTCAAGCAATTCTGGTGCCTCAGCTTCCCGAGTTGCTGGGATTACAGGCGTGCGCCACCATGCCCAGCTGATTTTTGTATTACTAGTAAAGATGAGGTTTCTCCATGTTGATCAAGCTGCTCTCAAACTCCTGACCTCAGGTGATCTGCCCGCCTCGGCCTCCCAAAGTGCTGGGATTACAGGCGTGAGCCACTGCGCCTGGTCTCTCACTCAATTTTTAAACAGATTTGAGAAACATTTTTGTAATGTTTTGTAACTTACTTGATCAGACACCTCTTTCTATATGAGAGTATGCAAATAGTTGTTTATTTCTGCATCTCCTGTGCTGATGAGGATGGTTCCAGGATTCACTGTGTATGAGTATAAATTGTGCGATGATGTTCGACCATGTCCAAAACTATGATGACACTGAAAGGTACTGACACCTGAAGGAAGTGATCACCTGTCTGGGGTCTTCTCAGCTGTGTGCCTTGGGAATGTGCATCCCACAACAGACCTTGAGCAGCCAGAGAAACTAGGCCAGCCTAGAAGACTCTGTCTTTAACCAGGTGATGCCTTTAAACCAGTAACCTTCTGCAACACTTCTCTCAGAATCAGGCCATTTCTCTCTGCCTCCTGCCGGTTCAATCTCCTGTTTGAACAAACTGATCCTAACCATGGGTGACAGACAGCGATGGGGTTGGCAGGCCGGAGTGGCAGCCCAGAAGCTGAGGGTCTTGGCCTGCCTTTGACACTAACTTGCTGTGTGATCTTGGGAAAACTGTTCATTTTCTTCGTTTGCAAAACAGAATGCTGTAGTTCCTGTGGACATCCCAGGGCTGTTGTGAAAATGATAGAATGTGAGAGAGCTCTGAGAATTACAGACTGCTGCACAAGGGAACAAATGGGCATTCCTTCATTCATTTACAGTGACTGAGTGCGTGTGGCCAGGTCTGCTCTGTGCCCTCGTTATGCCCTGGGTTTCCTTCAGAGCATTTGTCACAGATCATCATTTCTTTCTCTCTTTGTTTTTTTGACTATCTGATAACCTGTGTTTGTTCTGCTCACAGTGTACCCTGGCATTTAGGGTGGAGGCTGGCAAATACTAGTCGGTAAGTACTGATCTGTGGAGTGGAGCCATGGAGAATCCCCAAGATTGCAGCAGTGAGAAGGGCTCTGTTCTCAGGAAGGGTGCGTGCCAGGGAGGGAGAGCAGATACACCTGCATTTCATGCTTCTGTTATGCAAAAGTGGGACCTGTGGGCAGACAGGTTCAGAGAGTACATTGGGAATTCTGGGGAAATAGCTGTTAGGCTCTGGCTGAGAGGAGGTGCCTCAGCTGGCCACAAGGCCTAGCAATGTTTGGCCTGGGTGATGTGTCTGTCGGCCCGCAGCAGAGGGGAGGAGCATGGGCATGGCCCCCATGAGGGTCGTGAGAAGTTCCCTCTGCCGCTACAGCACATGACCGTGTACTAGAAAGGAGGAGGATCACGTGGGTGTGTCTTTCCAGATTGCAAGGGGTCCAGATGCCCCTTTCTCAGGCAGTTTGTTGACTACCATGGAGGATGTGCACACAAGCGCCATCCTCATAGTGCCCCCGTGGGTTGTGCCTATGAAGAGCACACACTGGTTTTGTGGGGAGGCAGGTTAGAGGGACAAAGGGCCGTGGCGAAGGCAGCGTCTGTGGGCGGGAGTAGGGGACAGCTGTGGGAGAGGTACGGGCACATGCGGAGTGAATGTGGGACTGAGGTGGTCGGGGCTCAGAGTGAGGCTTGCATTTCTGGCAGAACCTTTCCTTGAGGCAGGCCACCTGGGAGAGGCAGGCTTGGAAGTGGCAGTCCTGAGAGACTGGCAGAGTGAGACACGTGCTCATCCCTACCAGGGCTTAGGTATATGGTCTGAAAGCTCGGAGGAGAGGTCTGGGCTGTGAGAAGTTTGGCAGTTGCTATATCTGAAATAGCGAGATCAGGGGAAGAGATTCCCCAAATGCAGTTAACTACGGCTACATAACAAAGGACACCAAAGCTTAGCAGTTTGTTTAAAGCCAATTATTGTTTGATGTGGAATCCACAGGTTGGGCAGGGCCTGGTGAGAAGAACCTCCTGCTCTGCCCTGTGGTGGTTGGGCCAGCCCAAGATGGCGCACTCGTGTGCAAGGCTGGGCTGTGGGCAAGACCCTGGCTTACGGCCTCTACCTGTGACCACGTGGTCTTCCTCACAGCAGAGTAACTGGGAGCATGAGCAGCCCAAGAGATAGGACATGGAAGTTGTTGGTCTCTTAAGATCCACGCCCAGAAACTGCCACAGCATCTCTTCCACTTTGTTCTCTCAGTTAAACTGTGGGGACAGAGAGGAGAGGGGGGCAGAAACTCTAGCTCTCAGTGGGAATTGTGCTGGAGTTTAGGGCCCATTATGCATTGGTCCTACAAGGGGCTTGAAAATATCTGTTGAATGAATGAGTAAATGAATGGTGTGCGCAAAGACGCAGTGCAAGGAATATTGGGGGCACAAGGGGAACAGGTGCTGGAGAAATTCATCTGGAGTTCGGTTGCAGGGACAGCCTTGGGGAGGCCGGTAGGATCCACACTGGGGAGGGCAGTGGACTCCAGGCTGGGGTCGGCACTTGAGCCTGAGATAGGCTGTCCGACGGGAGAACCCGATAAGGTGCCCACTAGGGTGACAGTTTATGGATGGGAGTGGAAGTGAGACCTAGACCTGATCGCAGCCCTGGGTTCAGCTGATGTGAGTCTGACCCCCAGCTTCGGGCTTCTGCCTGCCCCAGCCTGCCCTCAGGCCTGAACATTCTGTTCCTGGTGCCTGTGGAATGCACAGAGGACACACCCAACAACAGAACCCCAGGAGTCAGAGGTGGCTTCCCAACCCCTTCTTCTCTGGGTGAGGTGGGGTCAGCAGGGCCAGTCTCACCTTTGTAGCTGAAGAAAGTGAGGTCACTTCGGAAGCATTTTTATGAGTCTTCCAGGCCATAGAGGGAGAACAGGGCTGCGTTTTTTTCTGTGAACACAGCTTCCTGTGGCCATGAACCCGTTGGCTGGACACAACTCGCAATGACCCAGGGCGTGGCTTTCTGCTTGGAGACCCACAGACTGTTGGCCTTGAGGAATAAAACTTGAGGTCTGTAGAGCTGGCCCGAGGAGGCAGTCCCTCTGTGCTGATATCTCCCCAGGCCTCCTCTGCCAGGAGGGGAACAGCCCAGGACACTTGTACAGGGCGAGGTGGCAGCAGACCTCTGTGTGGGCACTCACCAAGGCCAGGCCCCACGTATGCTCCAGCTTTGTCCAGCCCAAGCCAGTATGGACCGGCCTGCTGGGCTGCTGATTGCTGTCAAGGCCAGTGCGGAGGGACCATGAGCCTCCATGGTAGGCCGGCAGAGGGAGGTCCCGGCGGACACACAGCCACTGTCTGAGGAGAGCCTGACCTTCAGGGAGGGACAGCAGGGCCTGGCAGAGTCTCCGTAATGAGGCCCTGAGTCACACTGGCCTTTGTTCCTCACTCATCTGTGCTGGCCCTCGGCCAAGGGGCTGTTGGGGAGCTTTCTGCAGGCGCACGGCACCTGGCGACTGGGAAGCTTCTGTTTGTGTGAACTTCTTGGGAACAGCGTCCTGGTGTGGGCCAGGAGGAGAGGACTGGAGCACCCCAGGCTCCGACTTCGTGCTCCTGGGATCCTGTTGCATTGCCTGGCCATGGTGGTCACCCAGCTGAATCTGGAGTTTTGCTTTCGGGGCAAGAAGCTGCGAGGCTTCAGCTGTGAGCTCACCCGGTCCCCACATGGGGTCTTGCCTGAGTCTTTCTTCACCATCATGTGCCAGGTCGTGGTGCCCATTCTGCTGTCCGGCTTGTGCATGATGGCGGCCGGCCTGGTGATGAACACCGTTCAAGTGCGTACTGGGTGTCTGGGCGATCGGGGTGGGAGACACACAGACCGGGTCTCCTGGCACCACAGACAGGGCAGGCTGGATTCATAAGGGGCCTCCAGAGTGGGACAGCAGCCCTGAACCTGCCCTTGCCGCTTGGGTGTCCCGGGTGTCAGTGAGGCTGTCAGGAGGGACCTCCAACACTGAGACCTCAGAGTTGGAGATTCGCAGAATGATGGAGGTTTGTTAGAACCTTAGCCTACGTGTGCCTCCTTAGCCCAAGGAGCTCAAACCACTTTCCTCCCAGTGCATGTGGGCTCACGAGGCAGAGTCTGCCACTCACCAGTGGAGGGGATTTTTAGTCACACTGTTCTGCCTTGATTTCCCCATCTGTAAAATGGGGATAATGAAAGCTCCCATCTCACAGAATTGTGAGGACCAGATCACTGAGTCTGTGTGCTGTGGTCCGTGTAGGGTGGGGGCGTGACCACTGCAGGCAGAGCTGCGGCATGCCCAGCCCTCAGCATCCTGGTGTGGCCCCTGGTGAAAAAGGACAGGGTTTGGAGCCCGAGGATGCAGGTGGGAGGGCCACAGCGGTCTCCCTGCAGTGGAGGCGTGTGCTGAGGGAGATTCGCTCATCACAATCTGTTTCTCCCCTAGCTTGGTTCAGGCAGCGTGTTGGAATCATTGAGAGGTTTGTGCTATCTGTCAGCTGAAGCATTTCGTAGAGTCAGTTTAGAAAAATTGGAAAATATGCCCAAGCAATGGAGGAAGGCTGTCCCCTCATCTCTATCACCGCTGCTGTGGACCTTTCAAGACAATTTTCTATGTACATATAAACATATGCATATATGGTTTATACTATGCAGTTTTGCTTTTTTTTTTTTCTTTTTGAGATGGAGTCTTGCCCTGTCGCCCAGGCTGGAATGCAATGGCACAATCTCGGCTCACTGCAACCTCTGCCTCCTGGGTTCAAATGATTCTCCTGCCTCAATTCCCAAGTAGCTGGGATTACAGGCGCCCACCACCATGCCTAGTTAATTTTTTTTGGAGTTTTAGTAGAGATGGGGTGTCACCATGTTGGCCAGGCTGGTCTCGAACTCCTGATCTCGTGATCCACCTACCTCAACCTCCCAAAGTGCTGGGATTACAGGTGTGAGCCACCGTGCCTGGCCCACAGTTTTGCTTTTTAATCTGTAAATGTAAATTTAAAATTTCAACCCACGAGAACACCCCAAATAGTGTTTCATGTTCCTGAGTGTACGCAGCACCTCCTTCCTAATGGTGACTCAGCGTCTGTCTGTGCCCCGGCTCCAAGTTGGAGAGGGGCAGCCTGTACCCACCAGGCCACCCAGGCTCCTAATGTGAGCTCACGATACCTCCCAGGCAGCTTCTGCTTGCTCGTCTCAGTTGATGGGACATTCATCCCCTTTTGGGACTAGGGTGGCCTTTTGCATCCTGGCCAGCCCCCCATTAGAAAGCCTGTGTTTCTGTGGGCTTGCAACCTGAATACCTACTTCTTCCCCCAGTAGCCTCACCCTAGACCTGTGCTTATCGCTCCTTCCCTGAGACCACCCAGTTGATGCTGGGGAGAGAGACCGTCAGGCATTCCAGAGGGCTGGGCAGGGAGTGGAGGCCACAAGCAGGTGTTTGCCTTGAAGGAAGAGGGAGCAGTCATTCTTCTTAGAGGTCAGGGGATCTGCAGAGGAGCAGGACAATTTGATTTGGACTTTAAAGGTAATGTAGCAATTTCCAGGATGCCCTGAAAAGACGTGAACATTCCAAGCAGAGGGATTTATGTGCAAAGATATGGGCTAACGATAGTGTGCATTTGTGGAAAGTGAGGGACGGGGTGGCCGCTGTCATGGGGAAAGGGACACTGGGCAGGAATGAGGAGCTCTGTCTGCTCTGCTCAGAGGGTGTGCTGTGCACTGAGTGCAGCACGTGTTTGCTTTATGTTAAAATGAGTGTCTTGCTGGTTTTATTGAAGGGTAGCATAGACACGCAGGAGAGCCCACAATTCCTGTGTGCGTCTCCATGGACCACCTCAAGGTACAGGGGCTGTCGCAGCCCCACCTGGGGCATCCTCAGCAGAGCCCCAGCAGAGTCCTCTGTGCTCAGCCGTCTCAGCGCCACCTCTGACTCCAGTGCTGTGGGTTTGCATTGACTGCTCTTGTCATGTGCTTGTGTGTCTTTGGGGTTCATAGGACTTATGTGTTAGGTATACTCAGGAGAGGAGTTGGCAGTGAAGGGTTACAGGTGGCTGAGTGATGGGGTCATACTTGTGCCACAAAACTCACCCCAGGCAGTGGTGTCAAAGAGGACCCCGAGGGTGAAGCTGGAGGAGCAGGGAAGAGCTGGGGGACTGTGGGCAGAGTTCAGAGCCCCTGGAGTGCAAGAATCATTATTTCTGATGATTTCAGCCTCCCCAGTGACTGATATAGGCATCTTTAAAGTGTTGCTGGAGAGGCCAGTGGCAGAATTTAAAACTTGTGAAGACTTGAATGTCAGATTGGAGAAAAGAAGGCGTTGAATCCTGGCTGGCAGAGCAGGAATGACACGGGTGGCGAGGAGAAGTTTGGAGATTTGGGATTTGAGGTGCTTGTGGGGTGTTCAACCAGAGTTGGATGGGCAGATCTTATGCTCACAGAGACTTCTGAGCCATAGACATTGGGGGGCACCTGCGCAAGCCCAGGGTGTCAGTCAGTGTATTTGCTGTTGGCTACAGGTAACAGGAAACCTAACTCAAAGGGACTTTAAAAACACAGACACTTATTATCTCTGTAAAGAAGTCTAGAGATAGGACAGAATTGGTTAATTACTGGATTAACTGTGTCACCCAGCATTTTTTCACTTTACATTTGTATTAGTTTGCTAGGACTGCCATAAAAAAATACCACAGAGCAGATTTTTTTGATTTTTTTCCACAATTCCAGAGGCCAGAAGTCTGAGATGAAAGTGTTGGCAGGGTTGGTTTTTGAGCTTTGCAGATGGCCCTGTGTCTTCACGTGGTCTCCCCTCTGTACGTGTCTAGGTCCAAATTTCCTCCTCTAATGAGGATGCCACTCATACTGGGCTAGGACCCACCCTCATGACTGCATTTCAACTTAATTATCTCATTAAAGACAGTCTCTCCAAATACAGTCATGTTTTGGTACTAGGCATGAGGACTTCACCATATGAATTTTGAGGGACACAGTTCAGCCAGTGTCCGTAGACTTTGGTCCCATCACAGTTGTGTGATACCCAATGTGACCAAACAGGACTTCTCAGATCTCACTTGACCAGAGTCATAGCAACCACTGGCAAGGAGGATGGGACCACCGTGCATCAGGGTTCAGCTTCCACCCCATCTCCCGCCTAGGCTTCCTGCTGAAAGCTCCGGGAACACGGAGCAGGTGGGGTGGCTGCTGGAAGATAGTGCTGGGTGGGCAGTGGAAGGGTACTTAAGCTGCAGAAGGGAGAGGGTGTGGGGAGAAAGGAGAACTGAAGAGAAAGCAGGAAGGAAGGTCAGTATTAAGATGGTCAGGAGGAGGAAGAGGGGCCGAGACTGGGTGGATAGTGTGGTGGGCACAGGACTGGGGGCTGGAGGCTCAGAGGCCAGGGGAGAGGGTGCAGAGCTGTGCCTGTCAGCAGGTGCTTTATCCATGTGGGGGCCGGGGGACAGTGCCACCCTGCAGGGAGAGCAGCAGATGGGGTTTACCCATCAGGAGGCCACCAGGCAAGGTGTCCTCTCACGCCTCAAAGGTGTCCTCACTTCCTTTAGGGAGACAGAGCCATAGGGCTGCAGCACTGAGGGTGTTGGGTGAGGACAGGCGTTTGTTCAAAGGTAGTAGTGCTGGGAGAACAGGAGGAAGGCTGCTGGGTGGGGCAGGCTGAAAGGAGGGGTTTGCTGTGACTTTGGGGTTGGTGGGTGCCGGGTCTTGGGTATAGGCAGAGAGAGTGCCCATGAGCACACTGGGCTCCACAGGGGGCTAGGGAGAGTGTGGGTGGTGGTGCCTGAAGGCCAGCTGGGGAGTACGTGATGGTCTTGGTTCCCCTGCTGAGGACAGAGGCCCACCCTATGGTGGGTGGAGGGGTGTGCAGGCTGAGAGGACAACTGCGCAGAGCTGTGGCCAGATGCCACCAGGAGACTGTGAGGCATGGGAGGACACCTTGCCTGGTGGCGTTGTTTTCTTCTCAAGTTTTAAGAGAGGGCAAACTCAGGACTCCACCAGAGCTGGAACTGGATTCTGAATTCCACGGCCCGGTAGATAAGGTACAGGAAGAAACTAAACAGTGCTCACCTTCCTTGGTGTGAGAGCAGAAAGGAGTCTTAAAGGGCCTCTGGCCTGATCTCTTCACCTTCACGCCTGGTCAAGCCTGTTGCTGGGCAGCTTGTGGACAACTGTCCAAGTCCTTAGAGGCTGAGTGGGTTTGCACATCTTTACACAGCTCTTGCCTTGTAGGGGAGGGACAGGGCCTAGATCCCAGGCCACCTTTCTCCTTGATGACAAAGCAGGGATTTGTTTCCAGGTCTAGAATTCCAAAACCAGGAGAAGCTTCTAGTGTTAGGCGTCAAAGATCTCTGCAGCAGCCAGACAGGCAAAATAAATCAGTAGGATCAGATGGGGCATTAAAACTGATTTAGGGGAACATCTAATTGCACGTTAAACAGTTAAGAATTGTTTTCACCTCTACCAATAAGTGTTTTTCTTCCATTTTCCTTGAAGCATGAATCCCTTTCATCTGTCTTTAAAGTTATTGATTTTTCTACATTTAATGGAATAGAGGCATATTCTATGTTTTTAAAAACCCTGAGCCCCACAGGGTGCTCAGTAGCAGCTTGCACGCAGTCCCTGGACCTGGGGGCAGAGGGAGGCAGGGCCTGCATGGCCTGTGTGAAGATCCTGGATCCCCAGTAGAGGCAGGGCCCTTCCTCAGCCTGGCCGTCTTGCAGGTGTTTGTAGGCCTCCCCATTCATGAGAAATTCCCCAACTTTCTCGTCCGGGACCCGTGCCTGCCTCTACAGAACACAGTGCAGAGCACATGCAGCAGGGCTGCCACCCGCTGGCCTCCAGCCTGGCCCAGCCCGCCATGTGCTTACGGCCACTGATGCCGATTCAGTGAAAAGCACTAAAAAGGTTTTCACAGCTTCATTTATTTCTGTTTAGTTTAAAGCCATTTAAGAAACAGCTTAGTCCTATTTGATCATTTTATAGGGAGTAAAAAGTGACTTGCTGAAGTTCTGTCAAGAAATTTCCAGAGATTTGCTGACGTGTGTGTTTGGCTTATCTCCTTACTCTTTCTCTACCAGCACTGGCCTGTGTTTGTGGAGGTGAAAGACCTTTTGACGTTGGTGCCGCCCCTGGTGGGCTTGAAGGGGAACCTGGAGATGACACTGGCATCCAGACTCTCCACAGCTGTAAGTGGACACCTGGACATTCGAGGCGGCCACAACGTGGGGCAGGCGCGTCCCTTCCACCTGGTCTCCCCTGGCTCATGGGCGGTGGATTGGATTCTCCAAAACAATGGATATTTTTGGGTTTTGTTACCTCGTGATGCTGTCCCTGGTCCCTCTCCCAGCCCAACACCCTGGCTTTCCACTACCAAACTGGATGACTGAGGGATGTGCACAACCCTGCTTGCCCCCGTTCCTCCTTTGACCTAAATGTCAGTGGGTGCCATGTGCCCCGAGTCTGCACACCGCCCTCCCACCCGCATCCACCTGGACCCTGAGCTCAGCCCCATCACATATTCACACAGAAGACACGACAAGCAATGCAGACCTGATGGAGGGTTCCATGGAGGAGACAGGAAGGGTTTGTCACCCAGGTTAACCTTCCTCAGTGGCTTCTACTCCCCAGAATGGCTCCCTGAATGCTTGATCACTGGAGGTGTCTTCTCTGGGCACTTGAACCAACACAGTTTCTAGCTTTGCCAGCTCTTCTCACACCTTCCCAGCTATCCCAGGAGACTGAAGCTTTTTCCCTTCTACTACACAGAATGGTTTCTCCCTTTCTCTGATGCCCATGTGATATCCTGTAGGTGACAAAGACTGTGGCAAGAGGAGGTTGTGGTGTGTTCAAGGAACTGAGAGGACAGCAACATAGCTAGAGAGCAGAGGGCAGATGGGGTGGGGGCAGGGGGCTGCCGAACATGAGGCTAAAGAGATAGGTGAGGTGTGAGTGGCCCAACAGTGGCCCTGAAGATAACCAGGTCCTGGTCTTGGAACCTGTGGATGTTAACTTATGGGGAAGAGGCCTTTGCAGAAGTGACTAAGAGAAGCCCCTTGGGATGGGAGATTGTCGTGGATTATCCAGATAGACCCAGTGTAACCACAGGGGTCCTTATAGAGGGGAACAGAGAGACATTTCAGACAGGAGAAAAGGCCATGTGGTGGAAGCAGCATACAAGAGGAAAGATGCTGTGCTCCTGGCTTTGATGACGGAGGAAGGGCCGTGAGCCAAGAGATGGAGCTCTCTGTGCTGGGAAAGAGAAGGAGACAGATTCTCCCCTAGAGCTTCCAGAGAGAGTGAGATTTTGATTTTGGCCCCATAAGACTCATTTCAGACTCCTGTCCTCCAGAACTGTAAGAGGATGGATTTCTTTTGTTTTAAGCCACTAAGTTTGTTATAACAGCAAGAGGAAACTAACACATGGGGCCAGATCGTGTGGAGCCTTGTGGGATGTGGAAATGTCTGAGCAGCTGGTAACATGATGCAGGCACACACATGCACACACAACTCGTGTGTATACATGCATATATGTGTGCACAATTGTTTTGGTCAGTGTTTGGGAGGGAAAAAAATATTGATAGTAATCTCCGCCATGGAGGCATTTCAGGTGTTTGTTTCATAGTACTTAACTGCATTTTTTTTTTTTTTTTTTTTTTTGAGGCAGTTTTGCTGTGTCACCCAGGCCGGAGTCCAGTGGCATGATCTTGGCTCACTGCATCTCCTGCCTCCTGGGCTCAACTGATTCTCATGCCTAAGCCTCCTGAGTAGCTGGATTACAGGTGTGTGCCAGCACACCCGGCCAATTTTTGTATTTTTAGCAGAGGCATGGTTTCACCATGTTGGTCAGGTTGGTCTTGAACTCCTGACCTCAAGTGACCTCCCAAACTGCTGGGATTATACGCATGAGTCACTGTGCCCAGCCCATAACTACATTTTAAACACTTCTCTGCAATGATCATATCTTAGTGTTTTAATTCTCTTAAAATACGTAAAACATGAGAGGAAAAAACAACTATTAATGTAATTCTTGAACTCCTGACCTCATGATCCACCCGCCTGGGCCTCCCGAAGTGCTGGGATTACAGGCGTGAGCCACCGTGCCTGGCCATATTAATGTAATTCATTACAACAGTCTCAAAGGAGAATAGACACATTATTATCACAGTAGAACCTTCAAAGGTTTTACTTCTTTTTTTTTTTTTTTGAGATGGGGTCTTGTTCTTCGCCCAGGCTGGAGTGCAGTGGCGCAATCTCGGCTCACTGCAAGCTCCGCCTCCTGGGTTCATGCCATTCTCCTGTCTCAGCCTCCTGAGTAGCTGGGACTACAGGCGCCCGCCACCACGCCTGGCTAATTTTTTGTATTTTTAGTAGAGACGGGGTTTCACCGTGTTAGCCAGGATGGTCTCGATCTCCTAACCTCATGATCCGCCCGCCTCGGCCTCCCAAAGTGCTGGGATTACAGGTGTGAGCCACCGCGCCCGGCCTCAAAAAGTTTAAAACTCAAAGGTTTTACTTTGTTATTTTTTCAAAAAAATCAGTGTTAAGATATAAATTGATAACAATAAAAACAGAGGGTTTAAGTGTGCAGGTCAATGACTTTTGACAAATACATACGCCTTTGTAGCTATGACCCTAGTTGAGACACAGAACATCTCCATCTCCCTGGGAAGTTCCTGTCACTGTTGCAGCCCACTCCCCTACTCCATACCGGACCCTCTGATCTACCTTCAATCTCCATCTATTAGTTTTGCGTTCAACTCCCATATGTGACTTACAAAGATACTCTTAGTGCAACTTGAAACAGAAGAATATTTTATTTATGTTGTTCTGTGTATTCTGGCTAGTATAATAAACTAGGAAAAGAAAATAAGAGTCTTAAATATTGGAAAGGAAGACAAAAACTTATGTTATTAGTGATATGCTTACCTTCTTGGAAAATCTAAGCAAATCACTTAGAAAACTGTAAAACAAACAGTAAAGTGGGCCAGTTTCAAAACATCTAAATGAAATAAAATATATACATTAACATACATAAGCTTGTCTCTGTATACTCCTGTTCACACTGGAAATAGTCGTTTATAAAGTATAACTTAAAAAGAGATTCCCTTCAAACTATTAACCAGTTTTTAAATAGTTTCAGAATAATCCTCAAAACACAATGCGCAAAACCTATACAAATAAACTATAAAGCTTTATAAAGAGAAATAAAAATTTGGAGAGAGGTGAAGTTCCTGAATGGCAAAAGTCAATGTTGTAAAGTTATCACTTCTCTTTCTTTTAGCTTATAAAATTAATACAAATTTTTCTAATAACTAGTGATGGTGAGCATGAATGTGCTTATTGGCCATTTGTATGTCTTCTTTGGAAAACTGTCTATTCAAGTCCTTTACTCAGTTTTTAATTAGTTTTCTTGGTGGTTCTGTTGTTGAGTTGTAGTTCCTCATATATTCTGAATATTAATCTCTTATCAGTATATGCTTGGCAAATATTTTCTCCAGTTCTGTAGGATACCTTTTTGCCTTATGTCCTTTAACGCACAGAAGTTTTTAATTTTCATGTAGTTCATCTATTTTTGCTTTTGTCACCTGTGCTTTTGGTGTCATATCCAAGAAATCATTGCCAAGTCTAATGCCTTGAAACTTTTTGCCTATGTTTTCTTTTGATTACTTTTGTAGTTTGAATTCTTGTTTAGGTCTTTGATTCATTTCGAGTTTATTTTTGTACGTGGTGTAACATAAGCATCTAACTTCATTCTTTTGCATGTGGATATTTGGTTTTCCCAGCTCCATTTTTTTGAAGACTGTCCTTTTCCCATTGAATGTCCGTGGCACCCTTGTCATTTGACCGTATATTTGAGGGTTTATTTCCAGGATATTTTATTCCATTGATCTCTATGCCTGTCTTTATACCACACCATTCAGATTACTGTAGTTTTGTAATAAGTTTTGAAGTCATGAAGTATGAGACCTCCAACCTTGTTCTTTCTTGAGATTGTTTGGGCTATTCAGGGTCCCTTAAATTCCATAGGAATTTATGAATGTATTTTTCTATTTCATCAAAATACAGCATTTAGTTCTTGTTTGTTTGTTTGTTTTGAGACAGGGTCACCCAGGCTGGAGTGCAGTGGCATGAACATGGCTTACTGTACCCTCTGCCTCCCAGGCTCAGGTGATCTTCCTACCTCAGCCTCCTGAGTTGCTGGCACCACAGGCATGAACCACTGCACCCAGCTAATTTTTGTATTTTTTGTAGAGTCAGGATTTCACTATGTTGCCCAGGCTGGTCTCAAACTCCTGAGCTCAAGCTGTTTGCCCACTTTGGCCTCCCAAAGTGCTGGGATTACAGGCGTCAATCACTGTGCTGGCCAGCATTTAGTTTTTTTGCTTAAATATTTTAATGTTTAGGTTTTGATGAGATTGTATTAAATTTGTAGATTCTTCAGCTAGTATTGACATCTTTCTTTTTCTTTCTTTTCTTTTTTTTTTTTTTGAGATGGAGTTTCGCTCCATTTCCCAGGCTGGAGTACAGTCACACGATCTCAGCTCACTGCAACCTCCACCTCCCGGATTCAAACAATTCTCCTGCCTTAGCCTCCCAAGTAGCTGGGATTACAGGCACCTGCCACCATGCCTGGCTAATTTTTGTATTTTTAATAGAGTCGGGGTTTCACCATGTTGGCCAGGCTGGTCTTGAACTCCTGACCTCAAGTGATCCACCTGCCTCAACCTCCCAAAGTGCTGGGATTACAGGCATGAGCCACCGTGCCCAGCCTAGTATTGACATCTTAACAATATTAAGTCTTCCAGTCCATGGATTTGGCATGTCTTTTCATTTATTTGTGTCTTCTTGAATTTCTTCGGAAACACTTTGTGGTTTTTAATGTACTAGTCTTTTACCTTCTTGGTTAAGTTAATTCATAAGTGTTTTATCCCTTTTGATGCTATTATAAATGGTGTTGTTTTTTAATTCTTTTTTGAATTATTCATTGTTATTATATAGAAACACAACTGATTTTTGTTTGTTGATTTTGTATCCTTCATCTTTGCTGAATTCATTTATTATAAAAATGCGTGTGTGTAATCTTTAGAGTTTTCAACATACAAGATTACATTATCTGCAAACAGAGGTAATATTACTTCTTCTTTTCCAGTTCGTATACCTTTTACTTTTTTTTATTTCTTGCCTA